TGTGTGTGTGTGTGTGTATAGATATATATTGCATTACATTACAAGGAGGTGAAGCGTGCAGTGCAGACAGACCCTTGCATTTTATCTCGATGGCAAAGATAAAGCAAAGCACAATCCCTTGCAAGGCATCCTGGCTGAGAGGCTGCCTCATTTCTGAGTCCTTGGCTCCTGCTTCCCAACTCTTTCCCTGCCAGCCTTTAACTCTCCCTCCATTGCTTTTTCTGGCTCTCTTTCCTCTCTCCTTGGGGGTCCCCATCCTCCAATTTTCTGGGGTCTTGGATGCCTTAAGGGCCACTGTGCTTCCTTCCACGTTCCTTCATAGTCTCCTGGTCCACCTGCATTCAGCCCCTGGACCTCTTTCTCTCCATCTTCCCATTTTGCTAGCTCCAGGGAGCAATACTTGGACGTCTGCATCTCATCGGCCCCTCTTTTATTTCTTGATCCTCAATTAGATCCAACAGATCTCTGCCAACAAGGACTGGGTTTTCCAGCTCAGGACTCAGGCCAACGCAAGGAAATCTGAGATTTGTAGTTTCTCTGACAGAGAAGGCTCAATGTCTCATAAATAGTGCAAATCCCAGGATTTGTAGGCTCAAGTGCAATGCAGGATTGCATTGAGCCTTTGTCAAAGTGGTGTCAAACTGGATTATTTCTGCAGTGTGCATGCAGCCACGCACACCCAAGGGGTTGTCTCTGAAATCCTGCAATCGTCCTAACATTGCAGCCCCATGTCTGGGATAACTGTGTGTGTGTTTGTTTGTGTGTGTGTGTGTGTGTGTGTGTGTGTGTGTATATATATATATACACACACACACACACACACACACACACACACACAAAGTCACATCAAGCAAGTGTGGAGCGTTCAGATCTTCCGGAGCCTCTTTGGCAAGAGACAGATGGCAAAAGATTGAGGATGAGAATCCTCCTTTATGCCTTTTCTTGCAAACAGGAGAAAAAGAACTTCAAATGTTCTGTCTCCGCTGGGTGAAGTGACAAGAGGGTTTTTTTGTACATTTTGTACAGTGATTATTTTTGTTTTGTTTTACTTGGCACTTTGGAACGTTTTGTTTTCCAAAAAGGATTTGACTTAGGCAAGAAAGAAAGAACCACCAACCCAAAAATGCCACCTAAAAGCTCTAAAAGGCAGAGTTTTCTTGGCAAGATTTACTGAGAGATCTGTTGCCGGTGTTTTCTTCTGTGGCTGAGAGAGTGTGACTCACCCACACTCTCTCAGCCATAGAAGAAGAGCCAGAAAGTCAGAAGCAACTGGAAAGCACATAATACAAAAACCCTAACAAAGGGCAGAATTGATGCAGTTCGATCCCACTTCAGCTGCCATGGCTCCATCCTATGGAATTGGGGGATTTGTAGTTTGTGGTGGCTCCAGGGCTCTCTGGCCGAAAACGCTCAATCTCTCACAAGACTACAAATCCCAGGACTCCGTGGCACGGAGCCAGGGCAGTGTCAAACCGGATTATTTCTGCAACCATTGTCAACGCTCGCACAATGGCATGGCTCCCAGCGGAGAGTTTAGTTCCATCTGTGTCTGTTTTTCTTTCCAAGGGGTTGTGTAGCCTTAAGTGGCGGAGGGGAAATTTATGGACGATGGGGTTTATTGCTCCACGATTGACTCCAGAGCTCTTATGGAACGTGAAGTCTTTGCTTTTAATAACATTTAGCATCCATAACATCACACACATTCCTTCCTCTTTCAAGGGTTGCCAGTCTGGATTTTGCAAGAACTGACAAAGTTGCTAAGGGGCTCTGGGTGTGTGTTTGTGTGTTTGTGTTGGTGTTGGTGTGTGCAAAGGTTTTTCTGCTCCATTTTGATTCTCCAAATTTCTGCATCCTTCTCAAGATTAATGACTTTGCAAGCCTAGACTCCCTTGACAAGGTGAAAAAATGTTGGAAAATATTCAATCAATGGGTGAAAATGTCGTGAAATTTCTTTGCAACTTTGGGTACAAGTCTTCCCTGCGACTTTGGGGATTTCAGTACAAGAAAGCCCATGTGGGTTTTAATTTTATTTTCTGGTACAATAAAACCAGCACAGTTTCACAGGAGTGTTGCAATATGTGCAGAAAACAGGGAAAACACTATTTTTTGCACACACGCAAAACTTCTCGCGGCTTATTTTAATTTTTAAAATTTGAATTTCCACATTTGTGGAGGTCCTCCACCCCTAGCCCCAGCAAATGTGAAGGGATGACATTAAAATTTAAATGTTAAAAATTAAAATAAATAAAAGATGGCAGTAACAAAGCAAGTGGTTTAGGGGAAAATATAGGATAGAACGGAGACATCAGAGTAAGAAAATCGATTTGTGAAATAGAGTCGAGGGAATCTTTATTTTCTTTGGAAATTAAAGGGGAAAGGAAAAGAAAAAGACTAAACTGGAAAATATCACACCAGAGCAGGAGGAACTTATTCTCAGGAGAATATGGGAAGTGTGAAAGGAAATAATATTTTTGCTGTTACAGGAACAATCATGATGAAATGACTTAGCGAATTTGAAATTTTGTATTTGTATAAGGATTTTTGGTTTGCTTTCAGTGAGCTTGTAATTGTAAAATAAGAAAAAGGAAAAGAAATAAAAATCAAAATGCTGAACATAAAGAAAACAAAAATAATGACCGCCGAGGAGGAGGACCTTCACAAGTTCAACCTAGACACATCCTAAGAGCCTATGGATTGGATTATCCCCAGAGCCAGTGTGTTTTAGTCCTCACTTGGCCCTGGAAGCCCATGGGGTGACCTTGGCCAAAGTCACACACTCTCAGCCTCAGAGGAAGTCAGTGACAAGCCTCCTCTGAAGAAATCTGGCAAAGAAGTCCCCACGATAGATAGGTTTGCCATGACTTGGAAATGATGTGAAGGTGGACAGCTCCAGTTTTTCTTAGTTAGTTACTCATTGAGCAATTAACCTCTGGATGCATCTCTGACAATAGTTACTCTTCCCTGTTATCATTTGGCTTTTGAGGAGTGCAAGAGGGAGTTTTCTATAATAAATGACCTTATCTTGCCATTTTGAAATCAATTCTTCCTTTTTCTCTGTCCTCCGCTGTCTGTCAAGCCTTCTGGGTCACTCTGACTTCTAGGATTCTTGGAGAGAGAGCGAAACTCCTCTCCATCATTTCCATCCAAGCGGCTGATTTATTTTCTCAACCTCTCCCATACTTTCCCCTTAGTCTTCTTTCCCCCTCTTTTCATAAACCTAAAAAGGCTCCCAACTGCTTTGCTGTTATTGTG